AATGTTTTTTTTATTATTTTTCCAGCAAGTTGACAGCATATTAGAACATTTTCTTGTTTGATTACAACGCTGCAACACTGATCCACTACAGTAAAGGTTATCTCTTGAATGTGTCTTTGATGACTGACCGTAAGAGAATTCCCCCTTCGTGATACGAAATTTTAGCTAGGTTTGGAATCTCTTGTTTAGGAAGGTAGCCGGGATGTAATTGCAATTTCATCACAACAGCAATTAAACGCCTCCCTTCTAAGAGACTAAATAAAGTGTCCAAGCAATTGAGCAACTTTTCACTTGTTTCTTTCATCTACAACCACACCACAGAGAACAAACTGGTTCTCGTCCTTGTCGTCTGTGAATCTGTGGAATCTTTGCCTTTTTTAGACCATCGTAGTCTGAAAATATCGTGAGTTGTTTGCTAAGAAGTTGTTTGAATAGTTGGCTGTTTTATTTTGTTAAAAAAGCTACGCATTCTTTCATTTTGGAAGTTTTGTGTTTCTCACCTTAGGGACACCAATATGGTGGACCGTAAGGAAAAGAGTGTCACCTTCCGTTCACCTGTCCGAAATGGTCTCGGAGATCTAAAAGCTGGGATTGACAAGGAAATCAACGACACGACAAACGTCTTTCAAGACCTTGGAGATAATTTATATTTGTTGGCGCTGGAAACCAAAGCTGATGCAGAGCTTCTTGTAAGCAACGGGTTCGAGGTCGACGAGTTCCATATTGATTGTTTTCCTCCACATGGAAAGTTTTTGAATGTCAATATCTTGGGTCTTCGCTCTTATGTACAAGACGACGAAGTTAAAATGGCTTTCATGGAGTATGGAGTATTGAAAAGCGACGTGATCCGTCTGGAGACAATGTATACCTGTTGGAGCTTGAAACGAAAGCTGACGCAGAGCTTCTTGTTAGCAACGGTTTTGACGTCGACGAGTTTAACTTTGATTGCTCTCCTCCTCATGGGAAGTTTTTGAACGTTAGTATTTTGGGTCTTCGCTCTTACGTAGACGACGACGAGGTAAAATTGGCCTTAACGGAGTATGGTGTACTGAAAAGCGACGTGATCCGTCTCAAATATAAAGCCGACCACGATTTGGCCGGTATGGAAAACGGCAATCGCCTTGTTAAAATGGTGTTAGACAAACCATCTTTGCTGTATTCTATGCGTATTGGAGGTGATTGGTGCAGGAGCATTCACAATAATCAGCACCCCTTTTGTCTGGAATGCAAGGAACCTGGGCATACTAGGAAAAAGTGCCAGATGATTCGCTGCAGAGTGTGTAAGCAGCTAGGACATATGTCATATAATTGTGATCAGAGGGAAGAGAATGATCAAGCCGAGCCCAGCGCAGAACGAGATGGCGCCGCGGCTGTTATACAGCAAGATGCACAGAGAGGGGTGCCAAGTGAGTGTGAAGAAGACTTAGAGAAGGATACTCGTACGAATAATAATCAAGTAAATGAAATCACTGAAACTTCACGTCATCGAAGTCAAGTCCTGTTGGGTGGCGTCAGTACCTGGCTGAGTGACCACCTGGGAATACGCCGTTTTGTAGACTTTTGGACCAATTTTGACTCTTTAAAGAAGATTTCCATGGGCCTCCACACAATTATTATTCCCTCTGCTATTCAAAATGTTTTCATTTTTTTTACAAATTAATTCCATACAGCAACACTGTTCTTTTCCTTGTTTAATTACAGCCCTGCTAACTAGTACTCTAACAATAATCTCTTGAATGTGGCTTTAATGACTGACCATTACAAAATTCCACTTTTTTGATCTGAAGTTTTAGTTGGGTTTGGAATCTCTTTGTTAGGTCATGGAAATGTACAGTAGTTACAACTTCATCAGAACAGGAATGAAAGGCCTTCCTTCCAACAAACTTAATAGAGAGTACAAGTAATTGAGCAACTGCTTTCCACTTGTTTCTGTAATATCTGTGGAATTGTTGCCTACTTTAGGCCATTGAGATCTCATAATACTATAATTATATTCTTTGCTAAAACCCTTACTCTCTGTCGTATTCGTTTGTGGACAAATCTATGTGATCGATAGTGTTAGAAGTTTTGCATTTTTCATCTTCTGGAACGCCTATACGGCAGACTAAAAGAAGCAGAGCGCGACGTTTCGCATGCCTCGGCGAACTGGTGTTGGAGTTTCGAAGGCTGGAATTCAAAAAGAAGTTTACCACTCCTTCATAGTATTTCAAGATTTAGTAGATGACGTGTATCTTTTGGAGCTGGAGACAAAAGTTGATGCCTCACTACTTGTCAACAACGGTTTAAATGTTGAGGAATTTCATATAGGGTGCTCGCCGCCACATGGGAAGTTCTTAAATTAATGTGAGCATAATGGGCCACCCTTAATATGTGGACGATGGAGAGGTGGAGCCTGCGCTAAGCAAATACAGCGAGCTCAAAAGTGTAATTCGCTTAAAATACAAGGTTGACCATGAACTGGCTGGAATGGAAAATGGCAATTAACGACCATTTAGTCAAG